CCCGAGCCCAAGTCGCGTACGACTTAGGCAGCGGACCGCCCCGTCGAGGTCAGAAGACGCACTGATCCGAGGGGGTCTCCCTGGAACCCGATGCATGACGAGATTGACAGTGACTGGGAATGAGTGTCGGAGACGAGTCGTGAGGATGACTTACGAAGCATGTACTTATCCAGTACACGAGAGCACGTCGCGTAGGCTAGTCGGTACTTACGAACGATCGCGATTATCGCGAGAACAATTATGTTCTATTTGCTAAACGAGGGGGATAAGAAAATGATAGAGAATTTATAAATTTCGCTCCAAGTTAGGTAGCTTACCTTTGTACAGATAGCGCGCACATGTCACTTAGTCCATGGATCTATCTTATAATTCCTTATAACTACTTAGATCTAAACTCTCTCATCCTGCATCGTCTAACGATGTCTTGAAAAACCTGAAAGCTGAAAAGAAAGATTACTAAGTGATTAGTAAAACATAATGAAAGCGAAACAAATATAAACCATAATGATCAATGAAATGGAATAAGCAACCCAACGGTGAGACATAAAGAACCCAACAATGAGAAATAAAGAACCCAACGATGAGACGTTTGAATATTATACGAAATATTCGAAACGTAAAGTGAATATAAAATCTGAAAAAGGAAAAATTATTAAAACCTGAAACGAAACGGATTAGTAAAAGGAAACTACGAAAATAGTCTAAATGGAACGATGAACCCAACGATGTGACATGAATAACCCAGCGATGAGACATTAATAACCCAACGATGGGACACTCGAATATTATACGAAATATTCGAAATGTCAAATAAAAATAAATAGAAAGGAATAAATAATATCTGAAAAAATGAAAAAATAATTAAAAGCTGAAAAAAGAAAAAATAATTAAAAGCTGAAATAAAAAAATAATGAATTCTGCTGTCTCGCGTCGCCCCTTATATAGCCGCCGATCGGCTGAATCCCCCACCCCGATCAAAAATTTTCGAACTTTACTAATTCTATTAATTATTATTTTTCCGCCTTAATAGCTGATAATTTAATTATTTTTTCACTTTTATTATAAATATACACTGCGCGCAATTTGTTAATAACAATTTTAATTTGTTATAAAAATTAGGTGTAATAATTTACGAACTTTTTGTAAATTATTCGTACGTTTTAACACAAGTACATTATAAGTTCAAGTAATAATCGGTAATTTATTAATTTTTTCACTCTTATGATAAATGTACCTTGTAAACAATTTGTTATTAACTATAAATATAATAATTTATAAACTTTCTTTTACAAATTATAACTATACTTATGCTTTTAGAATATAAATTTCCATGATGCATTTATATCAAGTATTTTTACTATTTCTTGAACATGAGAACAATGCATTACAAAAAATTAAAACCGTAATTGCTGGTATATCGAACATATTGAGAATCTTAAACTATTTAGAAGCACTAAATGTCGACAACTTTGATGACCTACGTCACAGTAATTAATTACTATATTTCAGTACTTCCTGCGATGTTTGATGCACTGAAATGTGTGTAACAAATATGCCATAGTAGCGAAACGCAGTTTTGCACTTGCAAAATTGATTTTTGGCCAGCTTTTCGGTGAAATCCACTGTGCGACGTTGCATCCGAGTCATCCGGACATACAGAGACATTTATGAAAGTGAAAAATGTAATTAGCTATGCAAGCCCGAAGCTTTTCGAAATAGATTGAAACACGTCAAAAACACGAAATACGAGAAGGGTGATAATGGGTTTGTTCAATAATTAATTCCATCGCCAGAGATCAATGTTCCATTATAAAATGTTCGTCGTTCCTCTCGTTACAAGAATGACAATGGTCAAAAGTAAAATTTATTATTCCGCAATTCATTTAGATTCGTATCAACGCGGGACGCCGTATTATCTCTGCACAGGAGACCACTTTCTCTCCGCTGCAAATCTAAATGTAATAAACATAATTCATGTCGTCCGACTTTTCCGCATATGCAGCGGTACTTTTATTTGGGAATATGCTTATACTCGTCGACTCACAGATTATTCTCGCTCGATTCCATCGCTGTATTCGGTCGTCGATATTCCTCGAGTTATCTCCGCCACGAACCGTAATTCTCGATTTTTCAAAATTTATGCACCGCCAAACTTTACCGAGTTTTATCCACCGGGACAGATTACGCCGCGAAGGCCGCATTAGCCGAGCGTTTAAGGGTGCGTTGCCCTCGTCGCGCGATTTTATTTCGCGATCTGGTGCAGATGTAGCGCAAATACAAAGCGTATCGTTCCACAGGCAAATTCGAGCAAGACGAGGTAAAGTAGATAGAGCGCGTATCCGCTTGATTTTCCATCCTCGCTCGCGCAAAAGCGAAAGCTGGCCCGAAAAGAAATCCAATCCGTGACTTTGACTCGTGTCATATTTTCCTCTTTCTACCCCTTCTAATCGCGCGCATTTAGTTTGTTTCGCGTTACAGCCACCCCCTCTTCCTCTTGCTGCATACCACTCGGCATTTTTGCCCCACGTTCCTCGCACATCGAGGATTTTCGGTTGCCTGGCCAAGCCGCGGTGATAGCACCCATCCGAAAATTATTTTTTGGAAACGAGCTATGGGGCCAGGGAAATGGGAGATCGTAGGAACGACCCCTACGAACGCGGGAAGCCCCGTCCGCAGGTCGAATTAATGAAAAAAATTTTTGTTCACCCCCCGCGTGCCCACATGAGACTTCAACGCTGTCGGATTCCGGTCGCATTCACCGGTTCCATTCTCTTCGGCTGTTGCGTCGCGATGCCATAGTTTCCTTGCACGCTGCCGCTGCGAGAGAATTATACACGGGCCTACACATTGTTGTAACCGCGTATCTGTAGAGAGCGCGCGAGCGAGAACTGCCTGGAGCTGCTGCTGCTTAGAAAAATGCGCCATCGTGCTTGCTTTTATTTTCCACCGGTTTTATTCCGTCCTGTCTTACTTATTCTTCGACACGCTGCCGTCTAGCTGCTCGCTGCCATGCGACACCGATTTTTCTTTTTTCCTATTCACCCCCCCTTTTTTTTTTATTTTTAATCTGGTTCCGTCGCGCAGGACAATGAAGAGGAACGCTCTCTCGCGGCGGAGAATTTTGGAAAATGCCGTATTCTCCGCGTGCCGCGATTCGAATTTATATCGATTAATTTACACGGCGAATTATTTAAAAATATTCTAAGTTAGCTTAACAAACGTCGACGATCGCTCTTCGATATGCCTGGTAATGTTTATACAAGGGTGCTTAATAGTTTTACCAATCTTTCATTTTCCGTGTACCTTACTGCGACATTTATACGCGATATGAAACTCGAAAGGGGAAAAATGGGGGGTACACGTGAGAGAACGGTCGTTTGAAACTTCAGCCCCACCATCAGGGAATCACGTCATTACCTTATTATGCGTTGCCCTCCTTTCCGTCCGGTGACAACAGGCCTGAACGGCACGGCATCGACTTCTAATCCGTGGCACGCCGGTCGTTACGGTGTCACCGTCGCGGAACGCCAACCCCTGGTCCTCCCTTTCCCTCGCCAGGGGATATATTCCAGGGCCGGACGCGAAGGTTTGCGCGGTGCATTTTAATGAACTCGCCAACCCATCTTGTTTTCCAGCGGTGTGAGTCTCAACGGCAGAAGGGCGGCGCAGGCTCCCGCGGGGGGCGCAGGGGGAGGCGGTGGCGTCGGTGGCGTCGGAGGCGAAGGGGGGAGAGACGGTGGGGCGGACCGGAACCGGAAATGGCTGCGAGGTGGCTCCTGCTGGCGCTCCTCGCCGCCCACGCCGCGGCTCTTCCTGATGTCATTAGGATAGGTGAGTATCTTTCCAGTCTCCCTTCTCGAGTTAAAAGGCTCTCTTTCTCTCTCTCTCTCTCTCTCTCTCTCTCTCTCTTACTCTCTCTGTCTTTTTTCCACGCCGTTTTTCCTCGTTCGTTTCATTTTCGCCGACCGTTTCACCCTTCGGCCACGCGGCAAACGACACCGCAGTAACGAAATTGTGATCGATACGCCATTTTCCCGCCACGAGCGAGCAGATTTCGGATGTCGGTAGCTCGACGATGATCTAAGATGACAATTACGCGATGAAATTACAGGGATCGTCTCGTACGTCGACGAATAGAATAATAGGATAACGCGATTTCGAAGAAATTAAGCTCACGGTGAAAATCGAACGATCGATAAGTAATTTTCGCGCGAATATTTGATTTTTTTTTCTTTTCACAAGATTCGTGCAAGGATCTTTTAGATTTTCGTAATTTTGCCGAGATCGAGTATCGCAGAATGGACGGTGAAGGATTAATGAAATGAGACGTTGTAACGTTACCCCGCTTCTCGAAATGCCGCACGCGTCATGCTAGCCGTCGCGCAAGTAGTAACGCTCGTGCATAGCCAGACAAGCAGGATTACAAAGCGCAACGTCCTCGGAATCTCGAGAACGCGGATCACGCTGCACGCGTGAAGTCCGCGTTAAAGTGACAGGTCACGACCACCTTGCGATTCGGGTAAACAATAGCGGTCGCTTGCGGCTCGACATCGCAGCTCGACAATGAAACACTAGTGCCAACGTTATGCGACTTCTCATCGATGAATAGCCATTGTAACGCTCTATATCGGACACCCTGTGCACTTTTACTTTCCATTCGCTTGTCACCGTATCGCGGTCATTTTTAACGAGTGTACCTATCGCGCGTTAAAAGCCGATACTCGTACGAAATAAACACGATAGGTGACCCAGTGAGCGCGTTCACCCATTAGTCAGCTTTCCATTCGAAGATCGAGGATAAAAGGAAATTTGTACAAATCTCGCATCGTCTACGAAATTGCGTAAATAAATACTCGTTCTTTGTCGCCACCGCGAGACGCGCGAATGCGAAATTACGACCACGCGTTTGTCCACACTCTGTATGCCAAAAATTTGAACAGTACTTCCTCTTTCGAGGAATAAAATTCACCGAAGAAGAAGGAAATTAATGGATCATGGTCGAGACGCTTTCGCATTCGCCGCTCGCAATTTCGAGCGCATTCCTCGCGAGCATCGACGCGATACCTCGAAGGAGCGAATCGCGGGCCGAGCCTATCAATCGTCGATAATTCCGCGATGGTTTTGACAGTTGGCAGCGTCGAAATTAAAGCCGATCGTCGTTTGACAGGCTTGTTCCGCCGTGGTTCATCGTGACTCGCCGGTTTATTAAACGCTTTGCGCGCGACGTTGGCCGGATACACGGCCGACGTATCGAAGCGGTATCAATTTGGCGTTTTTGTCTGGTCGTGGAGAGTCGTCGAGCTCGGCTGTCCGACGCGAAATAATTCATTAACAATCAATGAATATTCAAGCCCTATTAATCCGGCGAAACGGCGCGCCGGGTTATCACGGAGAAAAGTGGCAGGAAGGCGAAGCGAAGGGTGGGATCGGACGGGCGCGCTCGAGTGGCGATCGCCGAGCGGAATAAAGTCACTAGGCAGACTTTTGCCCGTTTTTACGCGATCGATGATATCGTCGTTCTTTTTACGCTGGATCATAACTCCATCCCCGTGCGATTAAACGCTTCTCTCGTCGAGGGAATTCTTCCGTCGATGAGCCCCGAACGGCTCGGTATACAGGCAGAGACGTAACGATACCTAGTTCTATCGCGAGACCAAAGTTTTACGGCGATTCTAAGCTTTATCTCTAAGCCGTGGCGTGCCAAATCGACCGAGATTTATCACCGCGAGGATTAACGCTTCCTCTCGCTTTCTTCCCTTCCTGGCTACCTTTACGATCCGTTCTCGCCCTCGTAACCCCGCATTCTCGGTGTCCTTATTACG